TAAACTTTTTACTGTATATGTGAGTTATTTTTAGGCTGTTGGTGATAGGCAATGCTTTGTTTCAAATTTTAGATTTGACTGTTGCCTGAAAAGAATTTTAGATCATAACCTAAGTATTTCGTGTCCTCTACTTTGCAGACAAATACGAGTGCTGCCAGCTCACTTGGGACATACTTCTTGACACAGATAACTCTGATCTTTTTAGACATGCTTAATGTGTATAGGTAACCCCCCACAGCCATTACCTGTTCTCCTCATAAGTAACATGAGCTTTCTATATAACTGCTGCATATGTCATGCCATATCTTTGTGATTGCTTGCTACAGAATGTACAGCGAGCTTATATCAACTAGTATTGCGCAAGGAGGACCATTTGCATCTCGAACCTCAATTGTTAAACTTTTGCGGTAGGTCCAAAACTCAAATGGTTAATATCTTCCGTTTTCTTCTGATTTTGACAATGTTCCTATGTCTTCTCTTGCAGTTCAGTGAAGAGGGAAACATTAAAGCTCATTGAGACATTTTTAGACAAGGCAGACGATCAGCCACTTATAGGAAAGCAATTTGTGCCTCCTATGATGGACTCGGTTCTCGGAGACTACGCTCGGAATGTTCCTGATGCGAGAGAATCTGAAGTTCTCTCTCTTTTTGCAACTATTATAAACAAGTATGTTATGCTTTGTAACTTGCCCTTCATCCTCTCCCCAAAATAAATTAAACCAACTATTGTATTAGTGCCTCATCTGTTAATGCCTCATCTGATTGAGAGCTAAGTGCAGTACATTTGACCTGTCTAAAAAATGAATCATTGTGAACGGTGACAATGGTGAAGAACATTTGTACCATGTTTTTGTGATTGATGAGTGCTTTCCCTAGGTATAAAGGCACAATGATAGAAGATGTTCCCCGCATATTTGAAGCTGTGTTTCAGTGTACGTTGGAGGTGAGTAAAATGTTTTTATGTATTTATTAATAATACGTATTGCGTATGACTTCTGTCCTTGCTTTGGGAGGCTGGTCAAGGTGTTGGTTTTCACAATTAGGGATGGACCTGGGCCGGTTCCGGGCCGGGCCCGGGCGGGCTTTTTTTGCAAATCCATGGGCCCGGAACCGGCCCGGGTTGATACCGGGTCGGACCGGACCGGGCCCGGTTCAATGTCTATTTTTTTTGCTTTCTTGTTATCCCCCGACCCCCCCCCCTCACACCCACCCCCTCACACCTCCCCAAAACACCCAGCCCTAGCCTAGGAAAAGAAAAAAATTGGAAAAAAAGACCTGGGCCCGGCCCGAACCGCCCGGGCCGGTTCGCCCAAAACTGGGCCCGACCCCGGCCCGCCCGACCCGCCCAAACGGGCTAAAAGCCCGGAACCGGCCACCCGGTCTGGTCCGGGCCCGCACAGTAGCGGTTCGGTTCCGGGCTGGGCCGGTTCGGCCCGGCCCAGTCCATCCCTATTCACAATCACTGGTTTTCCTGGTCAATTTGAATTGAGATTCAAAATATAAATGCAATGAAGAGTTAGTTAATTATAGATTACTGTAGGGGACTTGACAATTTTGCTGTTAGTATGCCCAAATAAACAGGTTAATATAAATTGGTTTGTTGTATTGTGATATTGTGGTATTCCCCTACCAAACATAGGTAGGAATACAGGGGTTTGTCTTTGAGACTAATATATATGCTTATTCAAAACACAGATGATCACGAAAAATTTTGAAGATTATCCTGAACACCGGCTCAAGTTTTTCTCTTTACTGCGTGCAATAGCTAGCCATTGTTTTCCTGCTTTAATTCGGCTGTCAAGTGAGGTTTGTTTTTTCTGTTATTTTCTTATGCTATGAAAACATGTTCTCTCTTTATTAAATAAAGCATTAAAAGTTTCATGCACCAATTTCTGCAAAATTTCTGGCTTGATGCAGCAACTGAAGCTTGTGATGGATTCCATCATTTGGGCATTCCGGCATACTGAGAGGAACATTGCCGAAACTGGGCTTAACCTCTTGCTTGAGATGCTGAAGAACTTTCAGGTATATTACATCCAGTTTGAATTATTTCTACTTGCTATATAAATCTTTTGGTTGTTTAAGCTCACTAAATTGCATGGTTATGTTGGGGGCAGGTATCTGAGTTCTGTAATAAGTTCTACAGGACATACTTTTTGACCATCGAGCAAGAAATATTTGCTGTTCTCACAGACACATTTCACAAACCTGGCTTCAAATTGCATGTCTCTGTTCTTCAGCACTTGTTCTGTGTGGTACGGGTCATACCATATCTAGTACAGGAGTTTTTGTTAACTCATTCTCATAACACACTAATGACATTTTTCGTTATCAGGTTGAGTCGGGATTGTTGACTGAGCCATTATGGGATCCATCAACAAGTCCTTATTCCTATCCTAATAATGCAGCGTTTGTATTGGAGTACACCATCAAACTTCTTAGTTCATCTTTCCCTAACATGACTGCTTCTGAGGTATGTATTTGTGAAACACTTAAGTTTACTTCTGCCCTATGTTTATTTATTATTTTTCTTTCCCTGAAATCACTTATTTTGATGTACAGGTTGCCCAATTCGTCAATGGACTGTTTAAATCAACGAAAGATCCTACGGTGTTCAAGAGTAACATACGAGACTTCCTAGTGCAATCAAAAGAATTCTCAGCTCAGGTTTGTGCATTGCTTTTACTCATGCCTTTTTGCTTACATGAAGCCTATTATTATACAGACCTCCTAGTGCTGTTTCTTTAAAATGTTTTATTTCATCGCATTTTTGTAGGATAACAAGGATCTTTATGCCGAAGAAGCTGCTGCACAGAAAGAGAGAGAGAGACAACGGATGCTCTCAATTCCTGGGTTAATCGCTCCTAATGAGATACAAGATGAGATGGTGGACTCTTAAAAAAGAAGCATCGTTTTCTTCCTTGGCTTATTTTAGTTAGGTTTTCAGAGTGCCTGCCCTGGACGCATTATGGTAACTAGATGCTGTTTAATTTGTCAAATTTTGTCCTGTGGGGTAGTATTTCTTCCTTGTGCAGGGGGTGACTTGTAGACTCCGGGGCATGGTGCAAAAGGGACGACAATAGTGATATTATAGCCTCTAATTGAGAAACAAAGGATATGATAATTTATGGTTTACCAGTTTCAGCCTTTGGTATTGTAATTCAATTGGAGGATATTGTTGACATTAGCACCGTATTCTCAGGCACATTTGTTGGGTAGCATGACTTGAATAGGTTGTGTATAACGAGATCTGCCATTTTATGAAGAAACCATTTTTGTTTATTGGCATCGATTATCGAGTGCACCTACATTTTTTGAATTCGCAAACCATTATCATTTATTCTTATTCTTATTATCATTAATATTACTATTAGTCTATTACTATTGTTGTTATTGCCGTCTTAAATTTTAATCATCTATTTATTGCCAATATCCTTATTCTCGTCACTCATTAATATTTAACGTATCAAGTTGTCACTTTTGGTGGGACCCTCCAGATCTATTTGTGAGAACGGAACAATTTGATTCAAAAGAAAACATGCTTTTTTGAAAACAGATAACTTAATTATTATTAATACCGAGGATCATATACAAATTCTCCATAACAAATGCTACGTTGGGTGAGACTGAGAGTAATAAGCACCCCTGGTCTTGAACCCAGGATTGGCCTCTGCCCTACAGGGGTACTAGGTCTCATTTATGGATGGACTCGGGTCAGAAATGGTGGACCTGGGACCGGCCCGGGTAACCACCGGGTCCGGGACGGGCCCATTATATTTTTATTTTGTTTTGTTTTTCTCTTCCTAATTAACCCCTCTCCCACCCCCAACCCCCCAAACCACCCCAAATGGCCCAAAATATCTAGCCCAACCCGAAAATTTTAAAAAAATTGAAAAAAAATAGTTTTTGGCTCGAACCGGGCCCGGGACCGGCCGGGTCGGGCCTTGTTTTGGGTGACCCGAGCCCGGACCGGAAAACCCACGGGCTGGGCCTACCCGGACCAGTCACTGACCGGACCACCGGGTCGGGCCACCCGGCCCGAGTCCATCCATAGTCTCAGTACAGTTTTGAGGACTGAATCGGCAAGTTGTGTTCCTGAGTCTTGACCGGTTTTTTCCCGAAATGACCCCAAAAATCCCAAAATACCCAGTCCAACCCGAAAATTTAAAAGAATTTAAAAAAAAAAATAGTTTTGACCTGAATCGGGCCCGGCCAGGTCGGGCCTTATTTTGGGTGACCCGAGCCCGGACCGGAAAACCCACGAGTCGGGCCTACCCGGACAGGTCACTGACCGGGCCACCGGACCGGGCCGGAACAGTACCGGTCCCGGGCCGTTCCGGGTCGGGCCACCCGGCCCGAGTCCATCCATATAGGATACCATGGGATTTCCGGGGAGTTATCCAAATTACGGAAAGATCCCATCATCCCATGTGCATAAGTGCATGTGTATGTATGGAGTATATTTCTTTTCTTGAAGAGTCTTCAAGACATTTTAAAGTTGGACAAGAAAACATTACTTGCGAAGGGAGAGAGTATTACAATTTGTATTAAATGAAGGGCTGTCAATGGAACTTGTTTTCCATGACCACAAAAAGATAAAAATGATGAGATAAGAAGAAACGATAGATAAAAAGATAATCCAAGGTATCATACTATCATCATATCATTCTTGCCCCTCTAATTCATGAAGGTTTAGGTCTTTCTCTCCATGCCCTCCCAACATCTCAACTCAATTAAACATGTGCATGATTCGATCTTTTGATCAAACCACCACAATCAGAACTTTCACATATTATCCATTTATGCTACTCTTAGCTTTTGCTCGATTCTCTCATTCCTCAAGCACATAGAAATTCAGATGCACTCTTCAATTTCAACCACCTTTTCTAATTCTATGAGATACTCAGATACATCTCTATCTTCAATTTCCCAAAATTTCTACTTTCAGTTTTTAGAAAGTAGAAAAATAAAAATTCACTATATGATAGCAAATACATTAACTTGAGTACATTCATATTATTGTTTAAACAAAGGTTGGTAATATATCTAAAAACAAACTATATTGAGTTAATATTGCAGGATTTCAAGTGAATTCCAATCGTACAAAAATTAAGTGTTGCTACAACCCTATGGGGTGGGGTACAAGCCGTTCTAAATAAGTTATCACTCACAAACGAATACACAAAACTGTATTTGTGCATCAGTATCCCAATATCTCAAAAGTAATGCTGTGTAATATATACCCACGTGTTTGGATTTCAATTAGCCAAAAAGTCCATTTAACGTAGTCTTATCTTGCAAATTAAAACTGATGTCAAGGAAATTTGTGTTCGGAGGATATATATACTCCACGTATTTGCTCTGTCATTGTTTGATCCCATCACTCTTGACCTACTTAAACGCAAGTGTTACGGAGTAATATCTTACATCAAGTAACCCACAGACGTATATCCCTTGATCAATCATTTGATAGTTCCTTTTCTATTCCTGAAATAATATAACAACACAAGGATTGATAATCTTATCTTAGCATAATAGAGCAGTAACCAAATGGACATTCTACATCGTTCATGCTTAGGGCTGCACCCACCCTGGTTGCGAGTAAGGGGGAACCAGAACCCCAACTAGGTAAACTGGTTCCGGTTCTGAATCAAAACCGGCAAGGGACCAAGAAAGTAGATCTCTGTTCATTTCTTTTACCATCCTGGTTCCGGTGGAGTCCGGTCTTGGAATTAAAATTAGGTCCAACGCTATCAGCCCCTATACCTAACTAAATATGAGAATGGGTAATTCCACATCCTGGTGTGGCAAGAAAACCAAACTACACGGAAATGGAAAAAGAGATCTTAAGTACCTATATAAGTATATTGTGTGCATCAAGGCACCAGTGGATTGTTTTTGTAGCCTAAACACGGAAATTACAGGTGACATGGCTCCTAAGCAACAACCATCTACACTTGACATCCCCCAATTCACATAACAAAAAAATGGATAGCATTTGGACAACATGGACCCCCAGCAATAGATGAGGATCCCTCGTGGATTTTATCAGACGTGACATGAGATTATTGCTTGTAAATTACTACATGTTAGTAATAATTACTGGTCACTTCAGAAGACCAAGCTAAGGATACGGCCCACCAAATCCTCATTTAATCTGCTGAATACCAACTTAACTGGAATACACGCCACCGTGGGCATACTTCCTTGTTTGATTAATAGACCATCCACTTGAAATCTTTTGAAGCCACCACGCTTCACATCAATACTCTGTTTCTGCTGTGAGGCAATTGATGAGAGAGTTCTTATCTTCTGATGATTGGACGGGAATGTTATGCTTCTCAGGGACTTTTTAGTCAGACTCTTCTTGTCTAATGGAAGAGGCTGTTGTGATGTGTTCTTCTTCTTCTTTTTCACCAGACTACCACTACTACTTGCGGTGTTCTGACCAAAGCCTGTGGCTTTTCTAGTATTTCTGTTGCGCTTAGTTGTTGATGATGATGATGGATGATGACGGGGAACGCGAGCACCAGTTGTCCTACGAGCAGTCCTCCACGTGGGTTGGAGTGATGAGTCATCATCTAACGTTTCTGGACATATATCATTAACAGCACAAAGAATATCATCAACGATGTCCTTGTCAAGCACTTCAACTTTCACAGGGTGCCCCACTATCGCATGCCCAGATTTCTTACTAGTTAATGAAATCAAAGGCACAGGCTGCCTCTTGTAGCCGGCTTGGACTTTTAAGTCTACTTCTATGAGCATACTTGGCCTGGGACGACCTAGATGGTGATAGTTATTATATGAAGGACCAAGGTACTCCTCCTCAGAGTTTATCCATGACAAGTCTCCCCAATTGGCAGTATTCCAACAGGTACCACCCCCTCTAGATCCATACGCAGCCAAACTAACTCTAGAAGATTTCATCAATGAATTAGCTTCATTAGCGCCATAACATTTCTTTTGAACAGGACCTGTGGTCATATAGTGAGGCCTTTTGAAATGATTTTCCTCATATGTAGGGTCCAGAGATCTTTTAGCAAACCCTCGGTTATTCCTTTTCCCTTTCAGTAGCCATTTTGACACCCCAACACAAGAGGGGACAGTATGGCTATGATAAGGATGAGAATCTGCTCCTGATAAATCATCAGAATATTCACTACTTGTGCTACCCCGTTTGACCTGTGCTCGAGATCTTCCCGAAAATTTAGGTCGTAATTCTATAGATGCAGCACCTTCTGCATGATCAAACAAGCATATGTAACTTCAAGGAAATGAACATCAGTGGTTGTACGTTATGAAAAACAGATTTTTGAAATGCCCAATTTTAATGATGAGTAGCTTAATGCTCCTATGTGCCATTGAAGAAAAAGGATTAATTGATGTATTGAAAAAGAACTCAAGGCATATTCACTCTTTAAATAAGACTATTTTCTTATAAATATATATGCACATCGAAGACATGCCAAGTGGAAATGAAATGAATCATACCTGAAATGGTTACAATATCCTCACCTGAATCCGATTCCTCCGTATTGGTCTCGCAGGAATCAGTTTCAGTACACTCTGTAGACCCAGAAGTTTTTTCTACACATGACTCATCTTGGTTAGGGCAGTCACTTTCTTCCAACTTTGAAGTTGAGATAACTGTCTGAGTGGTGGGAAGATATACCTTATTACCATTCAAGCAATGTCTGGAATCATCTTCATGAAAACCATACCTTCCTTTCTTTGCGGCATGGTATGGAACTCCCAACTTTTCCCCTTCTGAGGTAAAAGCACTACTACTATCAGGCTGAGGGTAAAAAACTGATGATTCATCAATATTGTTTGACACTTCGACATGATGCAAACTCTCTTTGGCAGAACTAATGAGTCCTTTGTTTGGACTTCCATCATTTTCAGAGATTATTTTGTTGAGACTGCTTGAAACAACTGGAGAAGTATTATGCTCCGAAAGGGAGGTACTAACCCCAAACTCCAGCAAACCTCTCTTCCTGGGAGGCAAAATGGAATAATTACTATCGCCACTAAGTTGGGTTCCCTTTTGGCCCACATCTCCACACACTCTCATCTCCTCCTTAACAGGGGCACTCAATCTCTCCGAAGCTTTATGAGATTTCATGGATAACTGTTTTTTATTTTTACTTTCTAAGCATTCTAAAGATCTTACTACCTCTCTTCTTACAGTGTCATCTGGTGATTTATTTACCATGCCAATACACGTGTTATTTGTTATCCCATTTTTTCCATCCAACAATTGCCTTTCAAGTTCAAGAGCATGAATTATTGCATCTTCCCGACGAGCATATTTCTCTCTTTTCTTTGGAGGCATACCTAAAGAAGCTTCTGCTCGTTCAATACAGTCGTCAAACTCACCACATCTGAAAGCCTTCACACGCTTTGATTTTTCCAAATTGTACCAATCCCTAAAAGGCACACACACAAAAAACATGATAAGATAATATTTTTGAAGCCAAATGAGGTAATAAGCACACGTTCTTGCTTTGTTTTAGAGATTGAGTGCCCATGACAATGAAGTATATGTCGTTTTTCCAGCGCACTTTTTAGTTTAAAATTACTTTTTGGACAAACGCCATGGAGTAATGCTATGTTCACATCACGGTTCACATCATGGTTGACCACATGGACTATGGGTATGCAGCTTTAACGCGGTGGTAATTTTACACCTAAATGGCATCCAAGCAGTGAGAGGAGATGTGATTGTAGCATTACTCAACTCCACAAAGGTTTAGAGACAGATTTCCCTTAATAAATAAGATAACCCAATCAAGGAGGAAATCATAACAAGCTATGGATATTAATACTGTCGATACTGTCATCTTGTTGCCTAACTACAATCTCATGAAGTGCTACTGATCTAGGAGACGCATAAATATCTGCATGATAACGTCATAACACCATCCACACCTATCATTCATTTTTATTAAGAGTAACCAACCTTCTCTGATCCATTTATCTTCTTAAATCACTGGATAGTCAATCACATAATTGTGTAAGCTGGTGAACTCTGTTAATGCAAATTGGAAAATAATCTTTCTACTGTGGAAAGAAAAAAATTAAAAATATTAACTTTCTGTAGCTCCCCACAACCAACAAGCATACACGTCAAGTATAGGAGCTTCAGTTTTTTTTCTTGAATCAAGGTATACAAAAAATCTACACAAATAATACAATTCCAGTAAAAGCAGACTTACACACTTGCATCATCCCTTCCGAGAAGCTTCACTGCAGTTCCAGATCGTGGTGTCATCACATGGGAGGTTAAAAGTTCATCTGGACCAAGAATTTTACCTGGCCACCATGATCCATTTCGCCTCCGGACCCAAACAATGCACCCAACACCACAATCAACTATCCCTTCTTCTGTTTCTGAGCTTCCCATCCCTACCCACCACTACACCCTCCCTCTTTGTAAGTAACGATCATGAGAAACTATAATCCCTATATATTTATATAAACGTATTGCTAATATATAGTGTCATTTACCCTTTAAAATTTGTTTCCCCCCTAATTCTCAACTACTCTTTGCCATACACTCGCCTACCACGAACCAATGTGAATAATATTAAAAAATCTGATATCAATCACGACGAAACCGAGGATGATTCATAGGGTAAGCGAAAAAGAAGAAGAAAAAAAGGAAGAAAGCTTACAAATTCTATTAAAGTACAGACGATTAAAGGAAGAGACTTTAAAGGATTTGATTGCTTGGCCTCTGGAGTGAGAAACGAGAACAAGATTCTAAAAAAGGCGTTGGTTTTAGGAGATCTAGACCAAGAAATTGGGGTGGGGCTAGGGTTAGGGCTTGAAATCGGAATTTGGGGATTTTACATCTGCGGGTTATAAGTTTCAACTCTTTTTTCTTATTTTTTTTCACTCCGATTTAGTTTCTTGGAGAGTGACGGGGTTCAGGTAGTAGGGCTTTCATCTTTTCCTCCATATGAGTTCTCTCCGATTATATGGTACACCTGGGTGTATAGGTACACACGGTATTTTTATAATATATACGAACTTCAAGCTTTTCTTATCTTTCGCTGAGTCATCTCTTTTTTGGCGTCGATCGTTTTTCTCTTTCGCCGTCATCTGTTTTCTTTCTTTTCTTCCATAGCTAGCCATCTCTTTTCTTCCTTTTCTTCGGCCTCAATCCTCCTGTAGTCGTTCCTTACGTTTATAGTTTTGATTTGATAGTTACATTTTTTGTTTGGACCCTTTTAGTTTTGATAGTTACGTTTTTACTTTTGTCTTTTTTTTCATGCTTTTCTTTATTTTATTTTACCGTTAGCTACTTGGACTTTGTTTTGTTTTATTGTCTTTTTTCTTTACTTTTTTTCCTTTCTTTATGTGTTGTTTACTTCTTTCTTTTTCTTTATATATTAATACTGAGCATATTAGAAATGAGCTTTACTTTAAACTCGAATGAGTAAAACGCCTAAAAAATGAATATACACAAATGAGATTTTGAATTTTTTGATACTCGTTTTGTAAATTATGTATGTTCATTTAGTAACTCCGTTATGCTCATTTTAAAAATGTTTTTAGTACTGCATATTTCAAAAGTCTATTACATTAAATTTATATAGGGGTTGATTATAGACACGAGATCACAAATCATGATATTACAATCACAAATTGTAATACTCAATAACAGAGGTTTGATGCTCACTGAAAATGTATTGATGCTCAACGAACAAAACATTCAATTTTCATATCAATGTTCATCATGTAAGTTACATATGCTCATTTGTATGAGTCTGATGCTCATTAAATATATTTAAACGAGCATATTAGAAAATTTAAATGAACTTTTGAATTTTTCTATGCTCATTTTATAATATATGTATACTCATTCAGGAGTAGTGTTATTCCCATTCTAAAATGTCATGTCAATACTTATGAACTAATACTCAACAGAATAGGTATCATACTCATTAAAAGTACATTAATGCTCATTTAACATAAACCATTATTTTCATCGCAATAGAAGATGTTTGATGCTCAATGAAAATATCATGATGTTCAACTAACAAACCAACTAACAAATTTATTAATGTTCATTTTGTAAGTTACATATGCTCATCTAGTACAGATCTTATGCTTATATATATCGGACTCCGAATACTCAACATAATTGGTTTGATGCTCATTACAAGTTCATTAATGCTCATTCACAAGAAATTGTGATTTTCATCTCAATAGCGGAGATTTGATATTCAATAAAATGTTGTGATATTCAACAAAAAAACATTACGATTTTCATATTAATGTTCACATTGTAAGTTGTGTATGCTCATTTGGTACTGATGTTATGCTCATTTTTACGATGTCATATCAATGTATATTTCAAAAGTATCATATTACATTAGACTCGCATATTGAAATTAATAAGAGTGGATTATAGATATAATTTAATAAGTTTTTATAAACGAAAAAATAAGAAAAAGAAAAAGAATTAGAAGATATGAATCAGAGATCGCGATACTCATCATTAGCCTCTTAATACTCAATAAAATAGGTCAGATACTCACTTACAATACAGTGTTCATTTAGCGGGAGCCGTGATTTTTCCCTTAAACTACAAAAATGCCACCGAAAAAAATTAGACCGTATCAGTTAAATGGGGTGTCTTTCTTAATTAATTGGGCCTTTTTTGTGGGCCTTTTTCAGATTCATTAAACTTTGTTGAAATTGGGCTGGAGTTTCATTTAAGTTAGAAATAGACCCGGATGTACGGTTCCCACCCGTACACCCGGGTGTAGGATATACGAACTCAAATTCAGGCGTCCCTGATTTGAATTTTTGTAGAATACATTAAAATAAATGTGTTCTCAAACATTCCATAGATTTTTTTGTTATTTATTTGGATGGATTTTAATGGATTTTGGTGAATTTCTACATATAATAACATTCCACCACAAATCTTGTAGATTCTCTCGGATTTCAAAATCTATGATCTTTTAAAATCTGTCCAAATCCTACTTGGGGACACCCTCCTTCATTTACTTCGTAAAATTTGAAAAGGTAAATAATGCATTGATTTACCCTATTTACATCTCACACCATACAATCAATTTTTTGGAAACGTTTAGGGGTGTCCCCGATTCGGATTCCGAAGGATTTTAATGAAGTTTAAAATTCGCTCAGAATTCAGGTGTCACCGATTTGGATTTCCGTGGAATCCATGAAAATAAGGGTGTCCTCAAACATTCCGTGGATTTCTGTTGTTACTTATTTGCACGGATTTTAATGGATTTCGATGGATTTCTATATACAAAAACAATCTACCACAATCTTGTAGACTCCCCTCGGATTTTAAAATCAATGATCTTTTAAAATCCATCAAAGTCATAATTAGGGACACCCCGTAAGTGTATGGATGTATCAAGTGTAAGATATATTCTATTGTAATGAGTTCTCTCCAGCGTTGTCCTACGAAGTATTTAATTTTAAAAATATGAATCTAAAAAATCGAATGATAAATTCATGACAATTTCGAATTGATCTGATGATTCTGGTAAGTTTTCCATGTTTTTGAATGGTTTGATCCATTCATTCACCATAATGTTAAGCATGTTTGACTTCATTTCTTAATACATTGTCACAAATAAACAGTTTATTACACGAATAAAAACATGTTCAAAGTATATACGTGTTGGTTATTAAGCATCTGACCTATTTACATTTTCATACGATGTAATGAACTTTTTAGCATTTTTTTTGGAAAACGTACAAATATATTCCCGTAGTATGGATGTAAAAACAATTATACTTCTGTTCTATTTTTAGGCACAAATAATCACTGAAGTATATGTTGAAGTGCATATATACCTCTGAACTTTTAAAAAGTGCAAAACTACCACTCATGCATGTTCTTATAAAGGAGCAAATTTACTTTTATTGATTTTAAATAGATAAAATACATTTCAAAAAACACAAAAGATAAATTATAAAGTCGAAATCTAAAAATTAAAATTTATTATTATATTTAAATATTAACTCTTTAATTTTAAATTGAAAAATTAATATTTTTTTGTAGTAAATGAAGCACTTCAAATTCATAAATATTAATTTTAGTCTTGTTGTGAAATTTTGTACACATTATTATATATTTTTTGAAATAACATTCTTTGATTTTGTTTAACCTTAATAAAATTAAATTCACTATTTTGTAATCTTGGACTATTTATCTTCATACAAAATATGTAATTTTATAGTGCAAAGAATGCAGAGTTATTATTATTTTTACATCGCAACACCTACATATGTTAACACTTTTTCCAAAAGAATCTTAAATATATAGTAAAGTTTTGAAATAATAATTTATATACTAAAAATATTAAATTGTGATGTACAAACAATAAAAGGGAGAATTGGGTACACGCATATTTTCAGATTTTTTTTTTAATTTTCGAATTTATAATTTATCATTGGTGTTTTTTTTTTTAAATTTATTTTATCAATTTAAAGTCAATAAGGGTATATTTGCTTCTTTATAAGAATATGAGGGGTGTTTTTGCATCTTTTAAAAAGCTCAGGGGTATATATGCACTTCTACATATACTTCAAGGATTTATTTGTTCAGAAAAATAGAATAGGAGTATATTTGTTCTCACACCCATACTACTAGTCATAATATAAAGAGAAGGTAAAGTCAAGTTCAATTTACATCATCCAAAATAACTATTCGGTCGGTTCTGGAAGGTCATCAGGGATGTGATGTTATCCTTTTTTCAGGAGAAGGTAAAGCCAAATGTGGAGAGATAAATATATATTACATTAATGAGTATTTGAATCGTTAAATCTACTCAAACACAAGACTATTTACACCAACCATGAATGCTAAACGCATTATTATGGATATTTTAAATTGGACTTGTTTAAGCAGTTTCAGACAAGTCCAGACAAGATCAGACAAGACCAAACTCATTAGTTGTAAAATACGCATAGAACAAGCATTTGTCAGATCACGTCACGCCAGTCACACTAGACAAGGCTACATAGTCCAGATGATAAATTTAAATCCAATTAAAAACACTATAAATGTGGGCACACACATAAGCTAGTATATGGGAGAAGGCCTACAACATATGGAAGTAGGACACATGGCACCACTGAAGTCTCTCGTGTAGTGTACGAGGGGTCAGATGCTCTCGTCCCTCACGATGTTAGAGAGATGCATCGCTGTATTCATTCTCTTGTTTGGTAGAGCACCCAACTGGAGCTAAGGGTGCATGGCCGATAGGCTAAGGACAAGGGTGACATCGTCTTGGTTTTGGAGCCGCACAAGTGTTCGGCTGAGCCAGCCTCATAGGGCCGAGGGTCCATGAGTCTTTGACCGAGGGGTCTAGGCGATGGTGAAGTCCAGATAGTGCTTGTGGCGGTTGCAAATGACGGTGAGTATGTGGGTCGTAGCATGGGTTCCATATACCCTATCAATGTTGATCCTCCCACAATCTTTGGAAGATGTTATTTTACCACTATTGTAGGGTGTCGCAATCACTGATCGCTACTAGACATGTCTACATTTTCAAATTGTATGACAACCATAAATGAATCGAAAATTGTTGATCCCAAATGCACGACACTCGAAATCGAAATCTCATAGTGCCCGTTCTTGCATGATTTCAGAATTGCCAGTCACCATTTACTTTTATTTTTATTTTTATGTTAGTTATTTAAGTTTTACTCGCTCCGTCCCACGAAGAGTGTCTCATCTTTCCTTTTTGCTCCGTTCCATGAAGATTGTTCTATACCAAATTTAGTAAAGTTTGTGTGGTTCTAAATCATTCTTGCTTTATTCTTACTTTATCAATTCAATATCAAACTTATAAATCCATTTTTCTTAATAACCGTGCAACTTCCTCATGTCCCAATGTTAGTGGGACAAATGTAGTACTTCCCCCGTTCTATAAAAG